ACATATTCAGATAATTATTATTTTTTTTTAAGTCATCTTAATGTCAAATCACAGATACATAAATCTAGCCAAACTTATAGCCTACAGAATAGAATATTTGCACAGCCAGACCAATCAAGAATAGAAGTTTGCCACCCATAGAGCCCTTTCCTAAACTTTCACACAATTCTGACCATCTTCCTCAGAAGTAGCCACTGTCTAGACTTTATAGCAGTCTCCTCATTACATTTCCTTTCTCCCTCCTTTCCTCTTTTCTCATTTCTCTGTCCGTCCTCCCTTTTTTGAGACAAGATCTTACTATGTAGCCTAGGCTGCCTTCGAACTTGTGATCTTCTTGCCTGAGTCCCTCCACCTTCCTCAAATACTGGAATTACAGGCATGTTGGCTCTCCATATCACATTTCTTACTGGCACTCTCTGGACATTATGGTTTAGTTAATAATATTTTTTAAAAAAATGACTTTTTAACTGCAATTTTGTGTGCAGTTTACTATCCCTTTACTTTTTCTTTTCCTGTATCCAACACGTTTGGCCTGTAGTATTCTGAATCTCAATAACTGTTTTAGTCATGTGTAGTGCAGTTCTGTGTATTTCTTTGTCCTCAATAATGTAGTGCTGGATCCTGGAGCTTGATCAAATTTTGATTCCTCTTTTTGGCAAGATAAGAGATGGTAGGCATTTTTAACATAAGGCAACTAATGATGATAGCCTCTGATATTTCTGTATAGTTTGTTCCTACTTTGGAGGCAGGTGAAAATCATGATATTTTAACTATATTAATTAGTTTTCATATGTCAATTAGAATACTTTCATAAAGAAATATTTCTTTTTACCTAGTATTTAGTTACGCAGTAGTATAGTTCACACTGGAAAGATAAATGCTTGGTTATTTTTTTCTTTCATTTTTTTAAGTGAATCAATTGATTCTCTGTCCACCTAAAGTTACCAATATTTTGTATGCGTAAGGATGAAATGCTTTATGAGCTCATGATGATATATCTAATTCAAGATAAATTTCTATCATACTTGGTTCTTTATTGAGATTCCTGCTTCTCAAAGCTACAGGGAATATTAAAACTAGCATATTCTATATGAGTTGTATTTTTGGTGGTGGGGAGATATTAATCAGCCGTAGTAGACAATTTCAAATTTTGTAAAGAGAGAAACCTTTTATAATCCACATATCATACAAAATTAGTATAATAGCTAATCAGAGGTTTTCAATCTGGCTGTACATTAGAATCACTTTTGGAATTTAACTAAAATACAGACTGCAATCTTTTTGGATAGCTTATAGGCCTATGAGTTTGAAAAATATAAATAAAAAAAAGATGCTTAGTTGATTTTAATGCACAGCCAGATGAGAACAATTAAATTATAATAGAGAATGGATGAAGATTTTGAATGTAGTCTATTCTTTGTGTATAAAGTGATTGAAAATTTGTCATTAATAGAATACATACACATATGGTCCATGGACAATGTAAGAAACCAGCCAGTGTAGTAGAGACCACTGTGGTATACAAGTATCTAGAAATTTCAAGAGATGAACTGACAATATAGAAATCACCACCAGAAAATCATTGTTACTTTGCCTTGAATCTTGATGGAACTTTGCTTGTGTGATCTTTAATGAATGGGTAGATGAATTTTTAAAGACTCCTATTTGCTATATGAAAATATCCTTTCATAATATTTCCTTGTATCTCATTTGGTTTTTGACGGGAAGGTAATTTTTAGTTTAATATTCTTTTAAACTTAAAGAAAACTTGCAAGAATAGTACAGACAACCTACATCTTTACCTAAATGCACTAGATGTTTACATTTTACCCTATTTGCTTTACAATTTCTATGCATGTCTCCCCACCTATAGACCTGTGTGCATGAAAGGGTGGTGATTTAAGTCACTGGATTTATAGTAATTTGTTGTAGAGGTCTGTAATGACAAAGATTTCCTTATAAAATGTCAACAAAATTGGTACTACCTTGGCAAGAATGATCATGAAAAATACTGAGGTCTTATAATTCATATAGACATTGAAGGAAAATATTATGACACTTTTCTAATAGTCATGAGAATTTAGATGAATGAACACATAGAACTTTTTAAATTGATATGGAAGATAGAGGATGTGAATAGTCATTTATTTAAGATACTAGGTCTGTAATTAACCCCTCCAACCAGAGATAGCGGATTTTTACCAGTAAAATCTACAAAACCATTTAAAAGAAGAAATAAACATCAATCTTTTGTAGTTTTCTAGAGAATAGTAAAAGACACTTCTCAACTTTAAACAGTGTAGTTATTAAATAAAAATATGACAGGAATTCATGGGAAAGTAAATTTATAGGCTAATTTTTTTCATAAACATGGAGGTAAAATTCTAAGTAAATTTTTTATTACTAGATAACATTATGGATTGGAAAGAAGGAAATAAACCTTTCATCATAATCAGTATTTATACATATAGTAAAATCTAAAATGATAGAATACTGGAGTTTATAAGCAAACTTAGCAAAGTTACTAACAGCAAGATCTGTATAAAATTTACTCTTGTATGACCATAGAAACAAATTAAGAAGTTAAGTACTCACAAACAATCAGGAATAAATCTAACAAACTGCAGAAGGACTAAGCTGGAGTAGATACAGCACTTGAGAGGGATCGAGGAAGATTTTGGGCAGTGAGGGTGTGTGTCATGCTCGTTGGAAAGCTTCTTATTTTAAAAATGCCATTTCTGTCTAAAGCTCACCAGGTGTTAGGGAAACTGATTGCAAAATTTATAAGGAAATGAAAGGATCCTAAATAAAAGAAGTTCTCTATTACATGATATAAGATGAATGCCAAATCGGTTTTGAATTATTTCATTTTAAAAATTGTATTTTTGTAGGGTGATAGTTAATACCCTGGTTTTAATTTTTATCACTATCAATTTACATTGGCTAGAGCTTAGAACTGTATAGAGGCTATATTACAAAACAAGGAAGGGGAAATTCACCACGTTATATTTTGTTTCAAAAACATTATTCTTTATGTATGGTTCTATCAATTTGTCAAAATGTCTGTGGTGTTATCATGTTAATTGTATTTATAAATTATACAATACTCTTTTTGATTCTTGTTTTTTTGTGAGAAGCATTCGGAAATTTAACTGCGTAACTTTTTGTAAGATGTTATAAAGCCAAAATTTGTCTAAACATTTAATTTCATGATGCATAAACTTGAGTTAGCTTTATTTTAACACTGCTGCTTTTCTGACTGAAAGCTTCTGGGATAATGAAGAATCCAAGACAGACCGCCATGATATGACATCATTTAGTATCCCACTGCAGGGTTCACTGCTAAAGCATTCCATGACCTTCAGTAATTCAGTTGCCTTCTGGCCGTACTATGTTTATGTGTATACTTTTCCTGTTTCAATAGAATTAATTTTTTATCTTTTCGAATTATTTTCAAAGCTCCCCCCCCACCTAAGCAACAAAAATGTATTCACCTTTCAAGAGTGAGTTCTTAGCTTATTTTAAAGGGTTATTTTTTTTTAACTAGTTTTTCTGTCACCATAGGATGTTTTATAGTACTAACAGTCTTGGCCATTAATTTGTATTGTTAAATATATTGAATTATATTAGGGTCATGTAACTTAGTGAAGAATCCTTTTAGTTCTTTTGAATTACTTTGTTTACATATGTTTAGTTTTCTTAACTAAAGAATATGAGTGAAAAATGTGTTGATTTTTTTTTACAGAAACTATTGCAAGGTAAGTATCATGGTAGAAAGGTATGATTTTTGGAAAGACCTGGATTTAAGTATCCTCTAGTGAAAACAAGCACTTAGCTAATAATACATACTTTAAATGGGACAATGAAAGCATTAGGACTTCTCATATGATGTTTAAGAAGTGTTAAATGTCTTTCCGCTGTCTTCATTTTATTCCCATAGAATAGCTGTAGATCTGTAACTATTTTCTTTGAGTTGTATCCTTTTTCTACTACTCATAACCCTGCAATTTTGGGAAATCTTGATTTCTCTGAAATCAAGGTTCCTGAATTTGTTACATAGCTTGAGTATTGCATTACAGCAGACAGCTTTTGGAACATACTGTATTTTTGATAAGTAGGAAATTTGGAATATTATTAGCTAGTGATGTTATTATTTTGACTCTCTTCCCTATGTTTGCTTGTCAGAATTATTACTTGATCAATGCTTCCTACAACACAGTATACAAAGTTGCCCTTGTAAGAAGCAGCTGGGTCAAATTTTAAATTAGCCCAACTTTTGATTTAGACTTCTGTTTAAATTAGGCTTTATTTCTATGTTCGTGGCAAGATATTGTGGAGTGGTTCCTTAACTGGCAGCTACGTATGTGTTTCTTAGTACCTCAAATTTACCTACTGTAGAGGAGGACTGTACATCTTTGAATGGATGTTATTCTGTCACCTGATTTATATATTTAAAACAAATCATCTCAAATAAGCCCTCCAAATTTGAGGAAAATTCAATTATTTTCCTTTGTAAAAGTCAGAATAGGAGCTTAGTTTATTGAATAGGTAATCTAGAGGAATGGCAGGGAAAATGCTGGACTTAACCAGGAGGTTTTGCACAGGAGACATGTTTTAGCCTAGAGGGTGAATCTGCCTGAGAAGTTGGAATTTTTAAGATTCTGTGAGACTCCTTATAAACTTGGAAGAATGGAATTGGGGAACTGAATGGTTGTCACTTATAGTTACTCCCTTTCAAACGTACACTAAGATCTCATCTCTTTTGGCTGTGTTGTGACATTACTCATGCACACAGTGTTTAATGAACAGATGTCTTGGTTTGGGTGGTAAACAGAATCAAGAACATCTTTGTGTGAAGTTTGGGTCACTCCACTTGGCCCATAGCCAAAACTCCTTGTTCTTGGTCAAGGGCTACCTAACGCAGGTAAACACAAGTTTCAGCATAGTAGAACTTTGAATGTTAAAATATTAAAAATTTAACACTTTTCTTTATATTTCAGAGAGAATTTCACAAGAACTTTGTGTAGTTATGGACACAAAAGAAGAGAAAGAACCTATAAGCTATCTTCTTGAGGCACTAAGAAATGAATTAAATGTAAGTATTGAAAGACTGAGTTTGATAAAATTTTTGACAAATTTTTTTAGCTTAAAGACATCTTTCTTGAAAAAGCTGAGAAATTATTTATTCCTAATGTATCCTTTTGCCTTGCTGAGATCCTTCGGTCTGTTGACAGTTAGGACTGGAAGTACCCTCTATCTCCTGTCCTTTCCTCTTGTGGCTGCTTTCCTGATTCTCATGTGTGACTTGCTTTGGGAAGCCTGCCTGATGCATGTGCCCCAAGCTAAGGCCCACATTGGCTTGAGAGCTACAGTGCCATGAGACAGAAGCTTAGTGAGCTTTGTCGATTATATAGAAACAAAAGAGAACTGAGGAGGACAAAGAGCAGAAAAAAGTGAAACAGATTGTGACAAACGACGAATTGATCATGAATATAAGTGAGTGAATAAGCTACTATCAGTATTAGTGCTAGGAAAATAAAAGAAGCATAAGTGTAAAAGTGTCTATAGGAACTATTTATATCTTTTACCACTAATGACTTCCACAGTCATTTTTATGACAACTCTGTGTTTGAAGTATTTTGTTTGCCTGACTTTGTTAAATATTAATTTGTTTTCATTAACATGTTTAACTTCTAAGTAGAATTTATTATGATCAACATGTGATGACTTTTTAACATATGTGATATAAATCTAGTCAAAAGCCAAAGGAGAAAGTTCATTTTAGTTGGCTATGTAATTTCATCATGATAGCAGTTAGAAAAAGAACAGGCTCTGATATCACACTTTCTGTACCTGGTTGTCAGTTTTGTTGCCTAATTGAACTGAAAATATTAAAATCATGGACATTATAAAGCTGGTAGGGTTGAATAAAATATATTAAAACTCTTACTCTTTGCTATATAAATAAATACATATTAATGGTCACCACAAATCTGTATTGACATCCTATGAATCATTTTGGTTCTCTGAAGATAATCCTATAATAGATTGTCTAGGGCGAACTCATGGATACAATATTCCTTTTAAAGTTCTTTCATTTAAATAAAAATATTTCATTGCTCAAAATCCTTGATGTAATTTGGCTTGATTAAAACAAAAAAAATCTTCAAAATTTTTTCCTCGAAAATCCATTTTCTTCATAAAGTGTTTTTATCAAGTGTTGAAAATCAGATTTATTTTTGTCTTATATGTGACTGACTTTCTTTTCCTAGATGCCCAAAGATTTTTTTCCTTTAAAGCTCAATTACTTTAAAAAATTTTCTCCATAATGGCTATTTCTGGTTGATATTCCTGGGTGTATAATGTGTTTTTTTATCATGTAGTTTTTTTATTTTAATGAAAGTTCTTATGGCATAGTTATTTTTACTATTTTCTCTTACTTTAGTTTTCTTCTTCAGATAGTTCTTTCTTTAGGTTATGTATTCTTTGCCCATGTTCTATACCTATTACCTTCTCTTGGGTTTTTAAACTTTCTTAATTCCCTTTTGATTTTTAGAATTTTCTTTACATCATATTTTTCTTTTCAAGTATGAGATGATCTTTTCGTACTTTTATTCTTTCTACTTTCCCCCTTATTTGTACAATGAATGAATTATTTCACTTTTTCTGTTCTGGTTATTATGTTTCTAAGTCATTTGAATTCTGAGTTTTTAAAAATTCATTTAGTTCATTAAATGCTAGGCTGTAGTTTTCATTTGTATTGTGATTAGGTCTTTCTTATGTACATGCATTGCATTTTTACTTTTATTCCTTTACTTCTTACTACACTTATATGAGATTTGTTTGAGAGCTGTACTGCTACTTCTTTTAAAGAAACATAGTTTTATCTATTGTGGGGAGCAGAAGGGGTAGGTCAGTAGGTCAAAATAATTTTCTAGCTTAATGACATGATACTCCTTCCTTAACATTCTTCTTGAGACCTCTGTTGCCCCCCTCCTTTACTTCTGGGTGTTGTATATTCTTTATTCCTAACCTGCCTCCTTTTGTCAGTCTAGCCCTCTGAAGTAGTGCTCTGCCCTACAAGAGTTCTTCAGTCTGTTTGTTTTGAATGTTCTTTGGACCCAGGCCCCCAGAAATCCCTAGTAAAATTGTTAACAGCATGGTGCAATCTGTCATCAGAAGACTTCTGAATTCTTTGTGTCCCACTGGGAAGAACCAACAGCAGGACACATGGGTGTAAAGTGAGTTTATTAAAAGTTAGGGAAGGGAACTACAAAAAGAAGCATAGTGGGTGCAGATGGAATCTGCTGGCAGAGAGAGCTGCTTTTCTTCTTTACGTACTGTTAAAACATGTGGTAACCAATGGGAGGGAGGAACCAGGTGGTTCCCATTCAATAATCAATGAGTTGGGGAGGGACATGTGCAGTTCCCAGCCAGGTGAGGGTGCTCAGAGCTGTCCCTGAGTCAGACACAGGCAACCTACATATACGTATTAGTCCCGAACTTTCCCTACTTCTAGCCTGCCTCAAATTGAGAACTTTCATGTTGCTCCTTTGTATTCAACCCATAAAGGATTTTCCTAGTTCTGTTGTTATTCCCAAAATTGCCTGTTAAGCTAATCAGAAAGTACCCGATGATTATTTTGTTTCCTAGCCCCTTGATTTTTCTTCTGCTTTTTGTTTCAGTTTTTTAAATTGTATGAGTTTTTATAGATACTGGCAATTTATCTCTACCTACTAATATTAGTTTTGTGAAAGATGTTTTCTATAGATTTTCGGTTTTGATATCCATCTTTCATTCTGTTTTTATGAAGGGATCTGCAGAGATTCAAAGACTAAAATAACACATGTAGTTTTCCAGAATACTCTCCCACTTTATTCTTTAATAGAATGGATCTTCTGTTCATTTCTTATTTTTAAACACTTACATTTTGCTTCAATTTCCAGTATGTAATTTATAAAGTAGATGTAGATAGCAACTATGGAATTATTTTTAAAAATTAAGTTTGACTCAAAGTTAGGAATTTCACTTATGTAATAAAGAAGGCTAAGAAGGATACATAAATTCAAGAGGAAGGAAATTACTGATCTTATGTCTTAATTATAATGACTTTTTGTTTTGTTTTGGACTTATAATCTTTCTACTTTTTTAATATTATTTTGTTGTTTTTAAGTTTACTCACATGTTTAAACATTGTTTAGGCCACCTTCCACTACCTGCTCCCCCCTCCCCCCCAGCTTTTGGACAGTGCCTGTTCCGCCCTCTTGGTCTCTGATTTTGTTGAAGAGAAAACATAAAATGATAATAAGAAAGACATAGTGTTTTTGCTAGTTTGAGATAAAGGTGACTATATAGACAGATTCCTAGTGTTGCTTCCATGCACATGTGTATTACAACCCACATTGGTTCATCTCTATCAGACCTCTTTGTTAGTTCCTGGTCCCTGTCCCATAGTGGCCTCTGCCAGTTTAAGATTACTTTGTTCGCTTCTCTACAGTGAGCACATCAACCACATTCAAGTTTTAGGTTTCCTTCCCTTTCCCTATTCCTCCCGTGCACATTCTCCTCTTAGTGTGTGACCCATGTCCAATAATATTACTGCATTTGTTTTAGGTCTATAATCCGCATATGAGGGAGGACATGCGATTTTTGGCCTTCTGATCCTGACTAACTTCAATGGTGTTCTCCAGTTCCATCCATTTATTTGCGAATGACAAACTTTCATTCTTCTTTGTGGCTGAATAAAATTCCATTGTATATAAATACCACATTTTCCTTAATCTATTTGTTGGTAGTGGAGCATCTTGGCTATTTCCATAGCTTGGCTATGTAAATAGTGCTACAATAAACATGGGTGTGCAGGTGCCTTTGGGTATATCCCTAGGAGTGGTATTGCTGGATTATATGGCAGATCTATGTTTAATTTTTTAACAGGCCTCCATATTGTTTTCCAAAGTAGTTGTACTAGCTTACATTCCCAACAGCAGGGTATGAGGGTTCCTTTTTCCCTTCATCCTCACCAACATTTGTTGTTGGTGGTGTTCTTGATGATGGCTATTCTAACAGGAGTGAGGTGGAATCTTAGTATGGTTTTGATTTGCATTTCCTTTATGGCCAGGGATGGTAAGCATTTTTTCATGCATTTTTTTGGCCATTCGTAGGGGATATATTAGACTTTTTATTTAAATGAGGAACTAAAGTAGTGCTTGTATTAACTTTTAATTTTTTAAAAAAAGTTTTAACTGACATATAGTAATTGTATATATGTATGCCTTACAATGTAACATTTCAATAAAAGTATACAATGACCATATCAGGGTAATTAGCATATCTGTCATCTCAGGCATTTGTTACTTCTTTATGTTGGAAACATTCAAAATTCATTCTACTTCCTATTGTGAGATATTCAATTAATTGTTATCAACCACAGTTATCCTATTAGAAGTCTAATGAAAAACTACTAAAACTGAAGTTTGAATGTTCTCATGGTTTATTTTGTTTTTATATAAATTTTCTCTTTCCTTATAAGGACACATTTATCTTGTGGCATTTTTCAGTCTATAACTTACAGCAAACACAAAATCTGATATATTTTAACATTTTAACCTCCAAGAGCTTTTGTCTGTTTGAAAAGTACATATAAAAAGGATGAAGTCACCACTGTTGAAATCTATAGGGCAGATCAGTGTGGGTGTGGAACTGCTTAACACACAATGGGAAGCTTGTTTTATTGATGTGAAAAAACATGTTTCCCATTGAAACTGAAGGGAAGATAGGGAATGCTTATGGTTATTACCTGTGCTAGAATATTGTGGTATACTTTGGCATGATCCAAATGTCTAACTCTAATGTAATGGAAAGCACCAAATTCATGGGAGAGGTTGCTGAAAAAGGAAGCTAAAGAGCGAATTGGTGAAGAGACACTTCTCCTACTCTGCCACATGCATTTTTCACTCACACTTAAATTGTAGGACTTTATTATCAGTCATACCATACTCCTTAGATTTTCCTTTAAGGACTGTGAACTGTTTCATAGTACCTACCTGCTTCAGAGAGCTACATCAGGGTGGTAGACAGGGATGAAAGGCAATTATT